GAAGCAGTACATGTAACTGACAGATAATGAGAACCAGAATGGAATATTCCAAAAAGGAGTAATGAGGTGATAAGATTTCAGAAGGAAAATTTCAAGGGGAAGACATTAGTTATAGTTGCTTAGACGCATGTTGATCTTTCCTTTTACAGAAAATAACAGATGTGTATGTGACACGTTATGTGCACAGCAAGCTTTATTATGTACAATATGCAAAGGGAGGAGTCATAAACAGGAAAAGTGTATTATTAATTTAATGTTAGATCCTACTTTAATCATTTGCGCTTACGTCTGAGAAAATTCACTTACATCTGCTGCATCCATCTCATCCCCAGGTGATTGCTATTCAAGAAGCAGAAAGAGTCATCTTTTCAAAAGGACATAAGAGCTTATTTTTTCTCAAGTTACACTTCTGATAAACGAGGGATATGAGAGGCCTAATTCTACTTACAGTTAAGTCATTCAGTCCACTCCCATTACTGTCATCAGGAGTGAGAGAGCAAGCAAGGGGCACGGAGAACCAATGATCTTTTGGGACCTTTTGCTAATGTTTTCCTTCCTGGGGTGAAGATACCTAGAAATGATGCAAGAAATGAGCCAAATTCAACCCTGATGTAATTTCTCTGACATTTGGTCTACATAAGGACAATCAGGAAAACTTAAGGCAAACTAACTTTTTTAGAAGATAGACTGCATTAAATTATTTAGAATTTAAAAGGCTTTATTTTGTTCAACTACTTTTGAAAGTGATTTGAATTCTGAATGGGAGTTTCCAGACTGAAAATTAATATGGTTTAAGTAATCCACTTTAGCTAATTTGGGTGACAGGTCCAGGATTATTCCAGGGGTGAATCTGGTTTAGTATCTAGCCTCAAAGAAAAAGTATCTCACAGGTAACAGTTTTCTAATCAAACTTCTGAAATTTGTACTCTAAAGGGGAGGATAGTTGAATTTTTAACCACTTATTTCATAGATTCATAGATGTAGGGTTGGAAGGGACCTTGTAGATCTTCTAGTCTGGGCAGGAGAGAAAACTGGGCTCAAATGACCCCAGCCAGGTAAACATATAGCCTCCTCTTAAAGACCCCCAGGGTAGGAGCCAGCACCACTTCTCTTGGAAGTTGGTTCCAGGTCCTAGCTGCCCTCACTGTGAAGTAGCGCCTGCTGATGTCTAGTCTAAACCTAGCAACTTATGGCCGTTATTCCTTGTTACTCTGGGAGGCGCTCGGGGAAATAAGGTCTCTCCCAAACCCTGTTGGTTCCCCCTAGTAAGTTTATAGACGGCCAACAGGTCCCCCCTCAGCCTTCTCTTGTGGCGTCTGATCAGGTTAAGGTCCTGTAGCCTCTCCTCATAGGGTCTGCCCTGCTGTCCCCAGATCATGGAGTGGTCCTCCTCTGGACCCTCTCAGTGCTGTCCACATCCCTCCTGAAGTGCGGTGCCCAGAACTGAACGCAGTACTCCAACTGCGGCCTGACTAGTGTTGCATAGAGGGGGAGGATCACCTCCTTGGCCCTGCTTGTGGATGCAGGACAGGGTACGGTTAGCCCTACTGACCATGTTCTCACATTGTCGGCCCATATTCATCTTGGAGTCAATAATGACTCCAAGATCTTTTTCTGCCACCATGCTTTTGAGAAGGGAGTTCCCCAACCTATAGGTATGCTGCTGGTTCCTACTGCCCAAGTGCAGCACCCTGCACTTGTCAATATTGAATCCCATCCTATTTTCATTTGCCCACCCCTGTAACCTGTCCAGGTCCTGCTGTAATCTGTCCTTCCCTTCTAGTGTGCCCACCTCACCCCAAATCTTGGTGTCGTCTGCGAATTTAAACAGGCTGCTCTTCACCCCGTCGTCCAAGTCTCTAATAGCTAGAGAATTAGCCATTCCCTCATCAATGGATTACTCCAAAATTCTTAGAGAGATGTAGTTAGCTGTGTCTGAAGTCAAGCAGAAGGCAGGGCAGGCTGGCACCTTAAAGACTGACTGAATGAGTTAGGTTAGAGCAGGAGCGGGCAATATATGGCCCATGGGCTGCATCCAGCCCACCAGGCCATTCTATCCAGCCTGTGGGGCCCCTATAAAATTTAGAAAAATAATATTTATCTTCCCAGGGAGAGCCTTTAGCAGGATTAAGCAGCTGGAGAAGCAGGTCTGGCCCAGCTCCGACCCCCCACTAGCTCCCCTGAACCCCAACTGGAAGCCTCTGCCTATCAGGGACTTCTGGGGGTTTCTGGCCTGGGACTGCTCCTGCCTACCTGCGCAGAGGGAAATACAGATAAGAAGGTGAAGGGAAGCAGGGCAGGACCACAAGTGATTGCCCCAGTCCTCACAGCTGGCCAGGCCAGCTCCTGCAGTCTGGGCACTGCAGCTGGGAACCACGTGGTGCTGGAGCACAGTGGGACAGCAACAGGCAGGAGGAAGGGGCAGCGAGCGGACACACGGAGCACAGCAACAGCCAGGTGGGAGTGTGGGGACTGTGCTAGTGCACCGGGGCCAGCACTGGTGGGGCCCAAAGCAGGGCGGCGTGAGTGTGGGGTGGGGGCTGCCTGGGGCTCTGTGGAGCCAGGATGTGCTGCTCAAGCAGGGAGAGGAGGGAGTTAGCCTGGCTCCATAGAGCCCCAGACAGTTCCCACCCTGTACTCCTGCCACACCACTCTGGGCCCCACCGGCACTGGCCCTGGTGTACCGGCGCAGGCCTTGCACTCCTGCCTGGCTGTCACTGTGCTCCATGCTCCCACTCACTGCCCCTTCCCCCTGCCAGCCATAGCCATTTCCCTGCTTCCCCCCACCCCACTGGCCACTCAGTACAACGTGGTTCCCAGCTGCAATGCCAGGACCACAGGCACAGCTGGGATGGAGCAGGAGAAGGGCAGCAGTGGCAGATGCAGGGCAAGTGGCAGTGAGCAGCAGCATGGGGCCCACATCATTGTCCCGGGGCCAGGAGCATCGGGAGTGCAGAGCCTGAATTTGCAGGAGCGCTGGCGGGGGCTCTGCCTGCTGCAGGTGGCAAGAGGGGAGGCAGGCTGTGGGCAAGCCCTCCCCCTCCACAAGCCACAACCCTTCCCAGACACCCTCCCCTCACACACTCACAGCCCCCCACAAAACCCATACCAACCCAGAGCCCACACACCCACACCTATCCACCCTCCACAAATCCCTCCTACACACACCCTCCCCAGCACACCTATACCCCCCCTCCCACCCGCACCCCTCCCACAATACACAAGGCTTCATTTTAAGCTGTCATACTATCACCTCTGTGTACACTACACAAACACGTGTAAATCAGGACAAAAATATTTTTGAAATGAAATTAATGAATGTTGTAGTACGTGTTTCACTTTTAGACTGTAATTTGGTATATTTCTGGTTCAGAGATGGCAAACCCCTTTGCTGAAAGCTGTAATTTAGGGGAGCAAGGGGAGGTACTTCTACTGGCAAAGGTCAGGGGTTAGGGGGCAGGACTTCTGGTCCCAATATGGTGACCAGGGGGCAGGGACCCTGTCCAGGGGTGGGGCTATGCACCCGGCCCTCGAAGGCTTGCCAAAACTTGATAAGCGGCCCTCCACCCAAAATAATTGCCCGCCCCTGGGTTGGAGGTACTGCCCCGCTATAAATTCTCTCTGACATTCGGTTGCATGCACTGCCTGCAGCTCAGAGGTTGCTTTGCATTTTAGAAACCACAACACTAACAATGCCATAGCGAAGGCCAGTGGAAAATTCCTGGCATAAAGAAAACTGCAGCCTCTATTTTGGGGGGATTTCTAAGATTTCTTTGACATAGAAATGCACGTCTCTTCCCCCGCTGAGAAGAGATCCCTGCACCTAAGTGTTGCATTTCTGTATGCTAACCCAGCCTTTTGGAAAACCACTTCTAGTCGCCCAACAGCAATAACAGGAAAGGTATGAATCAAATGATGTTGTTGCCTCACCAAGGGATTAACTTCAAAGCCCAGATGGGCTAAATTTTTCTGATTGATGTTAATGCCTTGCCTACTCTACAGATGTCTGATATAATTACAGGTATATAGGAAAGAGGTACAAGAGGGCATCATAGTGCTAGCAGAAGCCCTTAATATACTGGCAAAACTGAAGTTTTCCTGGCATAGCTTGTTTGGCTTGACATGTGCAGGAGGAATAAGCTACCCGGGTAAAAGTCCAGCATTGTTGATGTAAGCTGCGTGTGTACACTAGGAGCACTTTCCTAATCATTGGTGACATGTAGGGGGTGCATGCGGGTGTACATGCATCCCGAGCACAGCGGTGCACCCCCTGCAAAAAGGTGCCACCAACACCGTCTTGCCATGGTCCACGGTGGGCGCTGGCTGCTACCACTGGTTGGCACTTGTCACCCGCCGCTACCTGCGCCGTGGTCGCCCGCAGAGGCACGCAGCGTTCGTGGTCCTCACGGTCCAGCCTTTCTGTTCTAGACACAGCCTACATTCCTACAGAAGCGAGGAAACGCTACTGCGGCAAAGTTACTCAGGGCAAAATTTTCAAACATGAATGCCTGCAGTTTGGCCATCTGGGAACCCGGTTTGCCTGCGATGGCGATGCCTTTTACC